CTCCTCTCAGCAGAGGTCAGAGGGAGCATTTTGGGGAGTCTTGTCTTGGCACAGAATGTCTGGTATCAGCCCTGGGTGGAGGTCAGGATAGAGATGGTTGGACAACAGTCAACGTGTTCCATCCAGCCTGTGGCATTTGTGAATGAAAATGATTTCTGTGCAGTTCTCTGGTGTTACAGCTCCCTGCCCACTGAAAACAAGGGAGAAATCTTGGCACTGGCCATGGATCTTGAGGCCATGCAGGTGTGTGAGAGCTGAACATGGCAAGCTCCATGAAGTGCAAAAGAAAAGGGCGTGCAGAGATAGAAAGCGGCTTGCCCACTGCCAGCAGAGAAATCTCTGAACCCAGGCATGTTGCAGCCACTGTGTTGGCTTACTTTCCAAATCAGTGCCATCCCTGAGGCATTTTTTTTTCTTCTTGACCCTGCCTCGCTACAGCTCTTTCCTGCTTTACTGTAATTTTCTGAGCTTTCTGCAGCATTCATGTCTGAAAAGAAACAGCAACTTAACAGAGGACTTCACTTATTTGCATGGCACAGGAAAAAAAAAAAGGGGATGTGGGCCAAAAAACATCACGTGTTGGTCATTTAGGTACTGCTCAAGATGAACCTCAGTCGTGTGCCTCACTCCAGTCATCCCAGATTTGCAACCCAGTCACGGAGCTGCGATGGTGCCTTTCAGCTCCTGCCCTGCTGCTCCCAGTGTCCCTGCCCAACTTACTTGTCTGTGTGCTGCCTTTGTGGCTTTGTGCTGGGAAAAACAAAACAGGGGTGTACCAGGAGGTGGGATTTCTGGGGTTCTTCACTGCAGGGAGCACATGGGCAATGCAGGCAGCCTTGGCTGCCCCTTGGTGATTTCCCAGAAACTCCTTTGCTGCCACCAGCTTTATTTTTTGTTTGACTGGGCCATCTAGTTATCCATAATACAGTCAGGATTAATTTTTGTCTTTAAAGCCAGACTTAAGTTGTTAACATTTATATTCCTCTTTTAACTGTCTTATTTTTTCTGTTCAGGATCAAAGGCTGGTGGGTGTCCCATCACTATGTCTCCACGTTCCTGTCTGGAGTAATGTTAACATGGTGAGTTTGCCCTGCCCTGCTCGAGGCGCTTCCAAGTGCGTCATCTGAGCACGGTAATCCAGCGTGACCACGCACAGGCACATAGCAAAGAATCAAACTTGTCTCATCAAACTGAGCAAACAAGCAGCACTGTGCTTTTATAATGGATTCTGCTTATAACCCAGTACCTAAACCAGGTGTGAAGCAAAAAATGCACATTACGTTCCAACAGATGATGGTGTTGGTCAAACAGCACAGCAGTGCACTCTGTGTGGTGCCTTTATGATCCACTTCAGCTTTGACATGAACTGATCTGCTAACAATTTGTTTCAAAACAACATGGTTTTTGTTGCTGAATTTCTCAGGAGATCATAGAGGAGCTGCAGCAAAAGTTCATGTATCCTGAACTACAGTTAAGAAAAGGAACGCAAGCAGTGCTGCTCTCTGGCTTAGATTTGTGATGCGGACTCAGCTGAATGGCTTTAATCAGTATCTGATTAGAGCAGGAAGCTGCAATAGGCAAATCAGTAAGAGGGGCAGCAAGCCATCAGACCATCTCCTACCATCCACAGTGGGGTAAAGAATGGGCAGGATGTGGCAGGCAGTGCTGTGTGCCTGTAGCGTGCTTTCTGGATACCCAGATGGGGTGGAGTGGGCTGGCTATCAGCTGCTTATTTCATTTACTAATGGCTCCTTGGCTGACAAGGCACTGTATTGTATGCTGCTTAATCGAATAAATATTTCTTCTCTATTTTGCTTTCAGGCCAGATGGACTCATGTATCAAATGTTTCGCAGTCAATTTTTAGCATTTTCAATATTTCAGAGTGAGTATATTATACCGTGGTGTCTCATGAGATAAAGTAGTTTTCTTTTTTTGCTTAGAAAAAAACCACTTCCATTTGTTAAATACTAGAGTCATAAACTGTGCATGTATGAAGTGTCATACAACTACAAAATACAATATGCAAGTTAAACAATAATACTATGGATTAAGCATTATTAAAATAGTTTTTGTGAGCTATTCAGAAGTATTATAAACGTATCAGTAATGGTTTCTCTCTTTCTCCAGGCTGCGTTCAGTTCCTGCAATATTATTATCAAAGGGGCTGCCTGTATAGGCTCCGTGCTTTGGGGGAGAGAAACCACCTGGACCTTACAGTAGGTGAGGTTGCCTGCAATACTGCAGTACAGATGGGGTAGATTTTAAAGGCAGTGATACAGGGGTGGCTTTGTGGCCTTCAGAAAGCAAGCTTTGCACAGCTGTTATTCCCTGTCCTGCTGCCTCTAGGACAAAGGCAGGAATGGGAGTGAGTGAGACTTCTGTTTTCTTTCTTGAGTCCTACGGGTTTGAAACAAGGCTCTGATCTCCATCAGCTCTTGAGAGCATTAAGGTGGAGGTGTTCGTCTCCATTTTCATCCTTCTCCCGTTACCACAACTTCAAGACTTTAACCTAACTGGTTAGTGCTGAACAGGACAGGAATAGGTCTTATGGGATGATCTTGTTGGGATGAGCTGCAGCTCCAGTCCTGTCTTATCCATGCTAACTTTCTCTTCCCTGTTAATCTTTTCCAGAAGGATTTCAGTCCTGGATGTGGCGGGGACTGACTTTTCTTCTTCCCTTCTTGTTCTGTGGACATGTAAGTTGGGCTGTCCCATTTCCTCCTCTGCCACGTGGGGGCTGGGGAGGGTGTGCTGGTGCTGCTGTGCTTCTTGCAGTTACGTGGTGCTTTGGATCACACCTACCTGGCAAACATTTCTAAATCTTTGATAGTAATGATTCTTTTCTCTCTTAGTTCTGGCAGCTATATAATGCAATCACACTTTTTGGGTTGTCCAGGCATAAGGAGTGCAAAGAATGGCAGGTGAGTGTTGGTTCTGCTCAGAAAAAACACGGGGGGGAGGGAAGGCGTGTAGGGATGTTTTGACCACATCTGTAAAGACATCTGGCTACCTGGATTTAACGATTTGATTTTACTGTCTGTGGGAGTCCATCGATGCTGAATGGCAGTAAGTTCACAAACAAACCACGCCGTAATATTGCTGCCAAGATGATCATGATCCAAATGGGCTTCCCAGTTAACTCACACAAGTAGATGTGTGGGTGCATATTTGTCTCCTGTCTTCTTTCCTGACTTGCTAACACATCTGTGAACATGCCAGCCAGACTCCACTGCAGCTTAGTTTAGTTGGTGAAAATACTCCTGCCCCAATTCATCTGACCCTTACTCAACTTTCCTCACCTTTCCTCCTCAGGTTTGTGTGCTGGCTTTCACATTTCTGCTGCTCTTCCTTGGGAACTTCCTCACTACTCTCAAAGTGGTGCACACTAAGCTGCAGAAGAACAAAGACAAAATGAAGAAACTGTGAACCCTCCAGGGGGTGCTGGGTGCCAACACTGGAGCTCGCTGTCCCTGTGCGCACAGCAGGCGCTCGGCGTTGGACGGAGCTCCTTAATTGCTGCTGCTTTGTGAATGGACTCTGAGGAACTCATCTGTCCCGTGTTTGGTGAAGGATGTGGGCTCTTCCAGCACAGACTCAGCATATTATGCAAGCATGGCTCTCCAGTTTACAGTCCTGCTATTTATGTGTATTTAATACCAAACGTGTTTGCATTGGGTTTTTCTGTATATTTAGCAGCATGCACCTGCTCGGCAAGAAACCAGCATTGAGAGAATGTGGGATCTACTGTAATTCCAGTCCTGGAATGATATTTAACACTTTCCAGTTTTATTATTTAAACTCTAGTACGGAATTTTGCAAAGCTTTATGAACACTCCAGGTTGATCAGTAATACAGACTGAATGCTGTTTTTAAAAAGCATTTGTTTCAGGCATTTTCAGTGGCAATACTAATCTGTGTGTACTGTGGAAAAATGCCCATCTTTGTACCATATTGCTGCTATATACACTTCGAAGAAGCTATTTAAAGAAATCTTCTTAAAAGCAAGCAAGCAAAACCAATTGTTAAATGGCAGGGAATTCTGCTAGCCCTCTTTGAGAGGGATCAGGTAATCTGTCCAAGCCTGGAAAAAAAACTTAAAATAAACCATACAATATGCAGCTGCTTCAGCCCCTTCTTAGCAACAAACACACTCCCCTTTGGGTTGTCTCTTAAGGCACAGTTATTCCAGAAAACCCTCTTGATCAGTGGCACTAAGTGCAGTTGCACTTCAGGTCCTATTTGCAGTTTTGTTTTCTTTTTTTGCTCCAGTGCTGTTCTGAGAGGTGAAGACAGGCTAAGAAGTATGAAATATTTTCATTAGGTACCAGTTGTTAAGAGAATGTAAATACTTGTTCAGAAGGATGGCTGAGAACGAAAAGATTCCCATCTTGCTTAACTCCTTGTGCTTTTTGAACTTACTCAGGTGAATAAGCTTGTTTGAGTGCTGTAACATCTGTGCCTCCTGAGCTGCTGTATGCAGTGTGCTGCTCAGCTGTGCTGGCTCCCTCTGAGCTAGCCCAGGGCCCAGCTGGAGAAGTGGCTTTGGCAGAATGATGTGAGAATTATGCCCATCTCCCATTGAGCTCATGAAGAAATACTTATGCACTATGGACTTCAAATATTTCAGCAGTTATTCTGTTGCTGCAAGGCTGGTGAATTTATCCTTACAGTGTCACCGTTGTGTGGGCACAAACACTAAATTGCAATTTGCGTATTTTGAACAATTTTTACTCTAGCTGGGTTGTTTCTTGCACACTGTGTGAGGTTGTTTTTTGTCCTTCTTTGAACTCCATTTATGAAATGTAAATTCTTCTGAGAGCAATGCTAGAACCTGGCTCTGTGCAGTCACCTGGTACTCAAGAGGTGAGGGAACACTGCTTAGCAAGTAACTTGAATTCTGCAGCATGAGAAACTGGGATTATAAAAGCAAGGAAAGATTCCAGACATGCTGAGGGTAAATCAGCGTGAAGATGTTTCAGACTTACTGGGTAAGGTGGTGTGTTTTTTGTTCTATTGTTTCATAAGCTTGTAATTTTAACCTTGGATCACTTTTTTGATTCAAAACAAGTTACGGGGAAATAAGAGTTTAGATTTCAAGGATCAAGGTTTTATCCTGCATGTAAAATGATAACGATGGCTCATTCCAAAACAGGTTTTCACCAGCAGAGGATAAAATTGTGTGGAAGCTGAATGATGTGTAGTTACCAGGCTCTACATTGAAGCGTTTTCTAGTAACCAGCACCTGTTATGCACTGCCCAAACATCCTGGCAAAGTATTCTCTTGTTACTGTAAAGCAAGACAGAACCAGAAAATCATAGCAGTCCTGCACATTCTCCCTTAGTTTGCCTCAGAAAGAAAACTTGTGTAACAGTTGTACTGCAGAAACCTTCGCCCTCACAGGGCTGGCTGATGATGCCTGCAAACTAGTGATTGCTCCTGAAACTTGAGATCTCACTAGAAGAGAATGTGCAAAAGAACTGGGAGGCTCAAGGCACACGAACTAGATTGCTCAGCAGGAACATCCACCATCCCTAAACACTCAACTGTCACTTTCATCACAAAAGGGAAAATTTAATTTACAGTAGCAGAGATGATTTCACCAGTTGATGAACGTGAACTACAAAGCATTTTACTCCCCCTAGCACACGAGCATTTGCATGTCATATATTAAATAAGCTATATATAGAGAGTTTATTGCAAAATGGACTTGTTACACAGAGTGGCTGAGTGGAGTACTGGTAACTTTGCGTGCTGTAAATTAAATATCGGAGCAACCAATGCATGTATCTCAGTGATGCATACCAGTGCTACAGTATTGCATGTTGCAAGGAGACCTACAGGGGCAGCTCTGCAAAGCTGGCCTGGGAGTCAAGAGGGAGTGAGTGGATGCTTTGGCTGTACACTATGGCAGCAGCTTGATGCTAACTCACACCACTGCCACCAATTAATTTGGGAATGTCAATAGGGAACTTAATTCCTGCTTATTTCATGGTGCCTGGTACGTAGGCTGCTCTATCAAAACTTTGGAAGGATGTTTTTTGCCTGAAAAAGACTAAATTGTAGCTACAATAAGCCACGGTTTTGCAGAGGAAAAAAACAAAACCAACAAACAAGACAGTCGTGCAGCAGCAGTCACTGTTCAGATTAAATGGTGAATCCAAGACCGGACTGTTGGTGGGCTTGCTGGTGAGAGCAAAAGCCAGGTGAATGTGTAGCATCAGGTAGCCTTGATAAAGAGCCTTGAAAACTGTGAGAGCAACGTGGCAAAAGGTTTTAAATGTAAAAAAGGAAAAAAAAAAAGTTTTTTTTTTTTTAAACCCTAAAAAGTATTAAAATTTTAAAATAGAAATCATTGCAGGAATACAAAATTGTCTTGGGGGGAAGAAGGAGTTGTCACTCTGTTGTTAAACTCAAGTAACTTGGTTCATAGCTGTCAATGCTCTCTTGTAGTCCAGATCATAACACTGAGCATGCTCTCTGCTTCTTTTGGCGCTTGGCTTTTTTCATGGCACTCAATGCAATAGTTGTTGCTTCTTTAAAAACCTTTTCTATGTTTTCACGGCATTTTGCTGAGCACTCCAGATAAATTTCTGCATTTATCTGCTGGCAAGCAGCTTCACCCTGGAAAGAACAGGTAAGAAAAGTCACAAACCTGATGCGTGAGAGGAGAAAAGGAAGGTGAGATGGAAGCAAAAAGAAATTTCTTTGTATATCTCCAAAACGTGAGGTCATCTTCCAAAAGAAACGGCCTCCTATGAGCACAGTGCTAGCTAAGTGTGTTGGTTACAAACTGAAGCATCGTTGCTGTTTTTTTTTTTTTTTTTTTTTCCCTAAGTTGATCTAATATTGTAGAAATAGCATTTCTTTAATAGATACTCAAGTGAAGCAATCTACAAGGAGGATCTTTTTTCAGGTATGACATGCGATGTCGTGTTTAGTTTGCAAGCCTCAGCACTGCACACCACATGCAACAGTAAGGTCTGCACTAAGGTCTTGCTTTGTTTTGTTGGTGCACATGCAGGAATCCTGACTGCCATTTCGAAGCATGACAAAGGCTCAGCAGAAGTCCTACTACATGCAGATGAGTGCCTACAGACATCATCACCCAAATGCATGCAGAGGAAACAGTAGAATCTAAAACATTTGCATGCAATCAAGGTGGTGTGAAATCACTACAGACAAAACACAGCTACTTCTTACTTTGTTTGCGATCCTTTCATTGCAGTCAGCCCCCAGTTTTGAGTGCTTGTGAGCCTTCGAGTGTGAATTCCAGATCTGCAATCCACAGCTCACAAACTCTGCATTTAGTCATAAGCTGGGAATGGGGTCACTTGAGCACTCAGACTTCTACACACGGGCATTTTCCTTCAGCACATTCAAGTGAAGTTTGTTTCCTTACAGTTGTTTGCAAGCTGCAGTGCTGACAGATACTATTCAGCTCCTCTGTGCCTGGCATCAGAAGCATCACATTGCATGACTCAATGCTCTCAGCTGTAAAAGACTGAGGTAGTGTGTGTTTAAAGGGAGAAAAAGGAAATGGAGAACTCTACTAGGCGACAAAGGGAGTCTGGGCTGGTGAGTTTTGCCTCTTCTGTGAGCGTTCATGTGATGAGCTGCTGGAGGGAGAGTCTGTTATGTGTGTACTGTTCTGAGGCAGTAATCGTGCCAGATGTGAGGCCCCAGCTGACTCCACAGAGAAGGTTGTTGCTTGTCCTGAACCTCATGAGACGGTGACAAAGGGAATTAGTAATGCCAGCGAGGGACAATCTTGTGGCTGTTCACAAAGTGAGAGGACAGTCATCTAATCTTGTGAGCAAGGAAGACAAACTTTTAAGTCATAGCATGATTTAATGGTGATGCTGTGGCAGGCTCTTTTCAAGTTCTTTAGAGAAAGAAGTGATTAATTCAAGGTCTTAGTGAACTTAACCTTGTTTCCTGGACTTGTGTCTCAGTTAGACAGCTGCTGTTCATAATCTGAGATGAGAGGAGGAAGATGGCTTTATACTTAATAATGAAAAAGTAGAAGACCAGAGCAGAAAGATCTGGAGTGACCTGGTATAAGCAGTTCAACCACTGCTTGCTTCCCCTGCACCTGGGACAGCAAAGCCATCTCATAACACCAGCTGTGTCTCAATAATTTGTAATACTTAAGCTGGAAGCATTTGATAGTATGTAGATTTTTTTCTTATATTAGATACTTCAAAGAAAAGTTTATTGGAGAACTCTCACGGATGTTTTGGCTACTGTCCTTGGAAGGGCTTCTTTCTCAATAGGGTTTGCAAAATGCTTTTAGTCCAGAATAATCAGTATTTTTAATCCTTTAATGTGTATCCTAGCATATATTCTTTCTCACAACCCCAGTCAAAGTACCAGTGATGGGAGCAATGTATTATGATAAAAATTAGAAAGGAAGTCCAAGAAACCTGTTGAGGCCTACAATTTATAACAGTAATAATGCAGTGAAGGGAAATCGAGGGGAGACACCCAGTAAGCGTAGATGGAGTAGCAAACGGTGACCTTTCAGACACTCCAGGATCCTGAGATATACAAAACACTTAAAATGTCTCCACTTTGGCAAAGAGAACGATACTGTGAAGCACTTATACTCACCTGGTTGTAAGTAATGGGCTCCTGCTTAGAAGCCCTGAGCTTACGCAACTGCTCTTTGTCTTTCCGAAGGTCTGTTTTGCAGCCAATCAGTACCAGGGGGACACCCTGGCAGAAGTGATTCACTTCAGGATACCACTGATGTTAGAAAAACAAAACCTGCATTATTTTGGTGATTCTATGTACAGGAATGCTAACTTCTGCTTTGGAACATACAGAAATCCTACTACAGACAGGTGGTTGCTTATATTTCTTCTCCCCTAGTTAAATGTGCATGTGCTGGAAGTGGACTTGAATCTGAAATGCTTGTGTGCAATGGTTGTGTGACATCACTAGAGACAAAGCAGCAACTCTGTAGCTGATTTGTGATCTTTTTAGAGTACTACAGAGTCAAGCCCAATTCCCAGCACTTGAGAGCCACAGAGAGGTAATTTCTGGGTCTAAGGTCTGTGACCTGCAGTTCAGTGCACAATGAACGACCTGTCCATCTGTACACTCTGGATACAGGATTACTAAAAGCATCAGCTTTTTTAATCTGACATCTTGTCCTGCATCAACCATACGTAATTCATTTAAAAGGCTGAAGTAATTACGGGAGGCTCTTACCTTATCTGCTACATTATCATAGCTGGTGGGGTTCATGACATCGTAACAAATTAACACGACGTTTGTGTTCTGGTAAGAGAGCGGCCGCAGCCGATCATAGTCCTCCTGCCCTGCAACACAGAGAATGTTTTGGAATACAGTAAATTTCTATCCTTAACAAGCAGTATGATGGGAATGTGTAAAGGTAAATACTTGAGTTCAAGAGTACTGTAACAGTACAGACTGAAGAAATGTCCATGCTTGTGAAATTCCTTCCCTTAAATGCAGGCTATCCTTCTTCGCTGACAAAATGGATCCTTTGGAATATAAAATGTGATAAAAAGGCTGCTTTGTCCAACTGCTGATTTTACAAGACGTGCAACCACACAGAACAGGCTCAACTCTTTGAAGCAGGACTTCACCACCAATCTTTGGGACACTGCTCAACTCTAGAAAATTGTTCATGCTTTTAATTAGTGATATTACAGCTCAGGGTCTAATTAGAGGAAGTTAACTTGCTTCAGACCTGTACTCTTCCCCTTTGCTTGCAGTTATCATGCTGGATAAACCATTGCTCAGCTTGCCTGAGAAGTGTGTAAATCTTAGGTTTGGGCTGTTCTCTGCATTTGAGCAGCAAGCTCTATGGGTGAGGCACTAAGCAAAGTAGGATTGATCCCTCAAGGTTTAATACTAAAATAACAGGCAATCAACAAAATTATGCATGTTGTGTAAACATTCAGAGCACAGATTTACTGCTTAGCCCTTCTTATTCTCGCAAATCCACTCTCTTGTTTGCAACCGATTTACCGTTCTGTTCTTGAGCTAATCCTCTAAATGCACTGAATTTCAAATGTGGAGCACAAAATGAGGTAAAATGTGCCCCCAAAAGTGGGTTGGTTAGACGTGTATTAGGGTTGGATAATTGCAGCTCTCCCTTGGAAGGAGGGAAGCTATTCTTTCAGAGCTCAAGTACAATTCTTCAGGTGGATGTAACAGAACCCAGCTCAAGCTGTGTCTGAACACTGACATCTCTCTCACTGAAACCTCAATGAGAACATTTCCTTTCATAGCCTGTCCTTAAGTGCTGCTGATGAAATGCAGAAAGGGCCTGTGAGACTTCTTCTCCATAAAGTTGCTCAGTTTGTGGTCAGAGCCTTTGGCACAGATTTAGGTCTTCTAGTAGAAATAGAAGGCTGAATCCAAGTAGTTACTGAATGTACTGAATAAATGCCTACAGCTGAGCACATCTGTGACTCCACTGCCTTCCTCAATTCACTGTAGCGTTTTAGCATAAGAGACAGCTTTTAAAAACAAAACAACCAACCGATAAAACCTGACCAGCTGAATTCATCTGAAATTTGCTACCTCTTTATCATCACATATTGCTGTCAGGCCTTATGGGGCAAGTGGGACCTCAAGCAACACCAGAGGGAGAGAAGGGGAAGTGATGAAACCACAGATCTCGGTCTCCTACGTATGTTCATGTCTGCCTGCTCCTCCTCCTCCTTCACTAAATAACACCAAGGATGAGCCCAGACAGCCTGTTCACGGCTCAGCCTGCACAGGAGCTCAGCAGCCACATGCACCACTGGGAGAGATGTACTGTTCAGGGGCATCTGCACCTTTTCCCTGGGATAACTCACGTTGGAAGTCCTCAGCCCAGTGTGCCTGTTTTGATCCACTTTCCTCTCCAGCGGACATCGCAAAGAAATTAACAATGGAGAACGCCTTCCTTTAGGCCCAATTAATTAGTGGCACTCTCTCTCTCTCACACGCTCAATACCACTAAGTGGTATTGCAGCCAGCTCTCCTGATGGCTGTGTGAAGATGAGGTGGACATGGGGGCCGATTGGGTGCTGAAGGTCCCGTCCTGCACTGCTCTGCACGAGGCTCGTGGCAGCAGACCCAGCAGGACTGGCGGGCATTGAGCTGATGTGCTTTGTAATGCACAAAATACTGCACTGTAACGTAGTCATGAAAAAATGTCCCAGGTCTGCCGTACTCTCAGGGCTGTGGAAAGCCAGAGACAACAACCCAAAGGCCTTTATGTGCTGGGGAAATGTGTCCACAAAAATAAAGTACAGAACAGGGCTTTGTCAAAGCTAACACAATAAGCACAGCTCAAGTTACAGCAGCGCAGTCCACTGCCACCAACAGCCAGCATGTAAGGAAGAGCATCACATCCTGTCACCCAGACCAGCCAACCACTTCCTATACATGTCAGTGCAATACTTTATGCTTATTATTTAAATTCAGCATGTAACCACAGGGAGAGGAGCTCTCACTGATACGCACCAAACTCTCTGTGTCCTTCTGCAGGCTCCATGAGAACATGGTTATCAGCTTGCAGCTGTGTTATTTCGCTTTGCAGCTCAGAAAAGTTTGGGAAATTGAATTTTTTCTTGGCAGGAATAAAAGCAGTAGAAGAGGACTTAGGTTGGAATGGGGGGATACATTTTGATTTCAAGTAGTCCTTCCCCTACAAAGTTATGCAAAATTACTTTTGCATGTACCAGCCCCTAAAGGCCTGATGCTGTAGAGCATCTATCATCAGAGACCTGAAAAAACCTGCTGGAGGCTTCAAGCGTGCTTCCTGCGACTCAGAGTGAGCTTCCACAGTGCTCACAGGAGGCACTGCTTCCTCCTCGGCTCAGCACAGTTTACTGCTTTGTTCTGAGAAGTCCTGCACTGAACAGCATCAGAAATGGAAACCTGCATTTGAATTGCAGCTGAGGCATCAACTCGATTATGCTATTCCCTTAGAATAGAAACAATTACAAAGCTAATTAATCTCTCAATTTTTTTGTCAAGCATGGCCAGAAATGGCAATTTTTAATTAAATGTGCAGCAGCAAAGCCTGTTTGCATACAAGTGGTATTACAGAGCTTTTATACATTGCATGTATATACCACCAACTTCCTGCAACAGCAAAAGGTGTCTCTGATGAGAAAGGCAGAACATGAAAGCCTTTCCAAAAACTACTATTGAAGCATATTGTAGACTAACTCATTACTGTTGGCTTGTTATCAAAATTCTTGCCAAGAAAAAAATACCTTCTGTACCTTAGAATGTTTGATTCTCAGGCAGTTTGTGCATGTCCTTCTCCTTTAGAAAGTAGGGCAAGCAGAAAACCTCCAACTGAGCAGGGCTGAACAATACAAAGAGTCCTTCTCACTTTACACAGCCCACAGTGTCCTTCACCTTCCCGTGACGCTAAGTGCATGCAGCTCTATTTAGGGCTGCTCTTAGCTGGATCCTAAAAATACTGAAGTCCTTTCTGCAGTAGGTGTATGATTAAGATCCAGTGACACTTTTTAGAACAGATTTGCTTTCTCCTCCTGTACACTCCTACATGACACTAAACTGAAACCCTTCGCTTCCAAAATAGTTTTACATCCCTCCAATCCCGTTTAACTGATCTCACAATAGTATGAATGATTTGGGGATCTTTCAGACTAAGAGCAAAATGCAGGAGCTCCCTTATCTGCTGACCAGCGCTTCCCCTTGGACTCTGGGAAAAATGCAGCTCTTCATTATATTCCAACCTTAGGAACTTGACATCAGTTTTGTTTCATTAAAAACAGGATGGGATTTAAATATGGGCTCAAGAGAGTTCTTCCTACGGCATCACTTCCACCTTCAGAAAGAGGATGAGAAGCTACTTGGATCACAGTGCATGACACATCTGTAAACTATAACTATGCCAGAGGCCTGGCAGCCATCACACTCTCTTGGGAGGTGAAGTATGTTGGGTTTCAAGGTCTCCAGACAAGGGAATGGGAAGCAATTGCTTATTCATGGCAAAGAGCCCTGCCAACTGGCCGGCAGTGCCATCTGCACCTCCCGATGTCTCATGAAACTGCACTCTGTTCTTATTTGTGATGGCATTAATTTGGAACAACTCTGCAGAATGCAACATGATTTATTTACACGGAGCTGAAACACAGTGCATGCCAACTTTAGGGTCTACTTGGAATGCAGCCGGACAGCAGAGCCTGGGAAGTCTGAATGAATCACAGGATCACAGAACATCCCCAGTTGGAAGGAACCCACATAAGGATCATTGAATCCAACTCCTGGCTCCACCCACAAATCAGACTGCATGAAGCTGAATGCAAATTAAATCCCAAGCTCCTGATATCAACCCAAACAATCAGCTTTCCCCAATAACCTTTAACGCAAAGGCCTTTCATTTTGAACCCAAACCATCTCTTTTCTCCCTTACTGTTGGATCACACGTGGCAGGAGATTAAAATATTTTCTTGGTTGACTGTGTTATGCACTGGGAGCTGGGTTTAATACCTTCAGATATGTTTGCAATGTGATGCAATGTCCCAACAAACGGGGTCACTGCGGCACAGAACAAACCTGGCCTGGAACCGCCATGACACAAGTGACCATTTCTTCGGAGAAACGCCTCTCACAGCTCAACCTGTCCCAAGGCAGGGAAAGGCCCTACCTGCAGTGTCGTACAAGTTCAGGATGACCTCCTTTTTGCCGATGGTGATGCTGGTGGCATACTTCTCAAACACAGACGGTGCGTATTGCTGCAGACACGGAGAAGTATTCAAGTTACAGACAAGGAAACTCGCACAAGGCCGCGTCCGTGTCGCGGTGCTGGGGAACAGCCCAGAACGGCCGTGAGAGCCCCGCTTCTCCCCCGGGCCGCCTTCAGGCGCTTCTTCTCTCGCAGACCCGCGGGCCCTCGGGGCCGCCCCGCCCTGACCGAAGCCGCTCACTCTGAGGAGCGTTCCTCGGCCACCTCAGCGCGAGCCCCCCGCTCTCCTCGCGGCTCACCTCAGGGAAGGCGCCGTTCGCGTACACCATCAGCAGCGACGTCTTCCCGCAGCCGCCGTCCCCCACGATCACCATTTTCACCTCCTTTTTCCCCGACGGCGCGGCCGCGCTGCCTCCCTTTCCCCCCGCCGCGCCGTCGGGCACGGCCCCGTTGGCCGCCTCCATGGAGCCAAACGGGGCTCAGAGCCGCCGGGACGGCGCTCCGCAGCGGAGCCCCGGGGCGGGCCGGCACCGCCCGCGCCCCGCCGGGGATTGGCCGCGCCCCGGGGCGCCTCAGGTGGCTCCGGGCGCCGCTCGGGGCCGCGCCGACACCGCCGCGCTCCGGGGAAAGCGCTCCGAGGCGGCGTGGAGCAGCCCGGCACCGTGCGCGCGGAGCTGAACGCGGGACCCAAAGCCTCTGCAGAGGCGGAGATCCGAGCGTGGTGGAGCGCGGGTCTGAAGGACGGGAGAGCGCGGAGGTGCCCCCACGATGCGTCCGCACGGGACACAGGGAGGGGCGGCGGCAAACTGCGTGTGTTCTGCTGTACCCAGTGCCTTGTGTTCAGAGCGAGCTGTCGTAAAAGTCAAACAGGATGATGTGTTTGAGTTACGGAGATGTCAAAGCCTGCAGACACCTGCCTGATAGGACAAGAGGTAATGGCCTTACGTTGTGCCAAGGGAGGTTCAGGTTGGATGTTAGAACAACTTTTCAGAAAGAGCAGTCAGGCTGGAAAAGAACTGCGAGGTCATCCAGTCCGACCCCTACCCATCACCCTGTGCCCGCTGACCACGTCCCTCGGTGCCACATCTTCATGGTTCTTGAGCACCTCCAGTGACAGGGACCCCACCGCCTCGCTGGGCAGCCCATCCCAGTGCTCTTTCTGAGAAGAAATATTTCCTAACACTGAACCTGAACCTCCCCGGCACAGCTTAAGGCCATTAACTCTTGCCATGAGTGCTTCTGTTCAGAACATAACACCCTGCAGAGAGTTCATGCAGCCACAGGCACCTCAGGTCTGCTCTGTCCCCCTTCAGGCCCATTCTTTTTCCCTTGTCAGAGTTGGAACTCAGCGATCTCTGAGGTCCCTTCCAACCCAAGCCATTCTGCAGTTCTACACAGTTGTGTCACTAGATGGCCTTCCAGACTGAACAGAGAGCAACCGTGCTCCTCATGTCTGGGAATAACTTCTTTCAAGGAAGATCCTGCTTTGCATGCAGGGCAAGCAGAAAGAAAAAAGTGTTTCAGTGATAGAGGGAGGATGGGCATGCAAATGCCCTACAAAGTGTCATATAATTCAAATTGAGAAGGTAAAAAAAGGTAGCCAATCTCACATCTGCTGAAAGCTAACCATTTTACTGAGGAAATACTTGACATGAGCATGTAGGATACACAAAAATATCCTTTATGAACCATCATCTTCAATATCTGATCTGCAAGACAGCAAAAACTATCAGCTCCATGAGGTTGCAGATACTGAGGGCATTCTGGTATTGCACAGCAATGAATGGTCCAAGAGTGATATGTTTTACACTGAAACAACTCCTTTGAACTTGGCTCAAAATGAATGGCGTACTATGGTATGATCAACACATAGACTTGCTAGTCTTCCTGTAATTACACAACATTTCAGTGTCTCTGATGCTTATTTTTAATTAATGGGTTTGCAGTTCTTCAGACATGAAAAGTACCATGCAAAAATGGTGTATTTTGCTGACTGAAAAGTGAAATCTAATATGGAGTTCTGCCATTGATTTAAATGGATGAAAATTCAACCCTCTATTAGTGAAATTCATATCTAATCACTATTAATTACAAGTGTACTTCTCCGGTTTTGGCCTATACATCAATTTTGGCACAAGTTCTGTGTCATCAAAAGCTTACACATCTGCAGTCTTAAGAGTTTGTGTACAGTGAGCGCACCAAAATCAGAGATGCAGTGGGGTATAGCAAATATCTGTGTTCCATTACTGTTACATAGCTGGTGCTGCACAGTTGCGGAGAAAAATAATAGGAAGGAGAGAAAGGTTAAGCACAATGCCTAGGAAAACTGCTGGAAGCATGTGGTTTTTGAAAGATGCTTTAACAGTTTAGATGGTATTTATGGGTGATATGGGTTAGTTTTCAGGAAAAAGACTCTCAGTTTGGTTTAATATTGAAGCTATAACCATTCAGACACAGCATGATGAAATTCCTCAAAATACCACCCAAAGAAAAGCGTTTCAACCTCCTGGACATTTTGGTTGTTTTCATGTAAGAACATCAGGTGTGCCATCAGCCTGACCTCCTAAGGAAGCAATACCAATGTGCTCATGTTATGGCTCTCTGTCCTTCATAATGTGCTTAAGAAAGGTAACAGAGAAATAATAATACTAAAGGCCTTTGAGTTTTGCCACTACAGAAAATCAAGTAGGGGAAGAGAAGCATAACGGTAAATTGTGCAAAATGGTGAGAAAAGATGTTATAAATAGTAAATATATTAACGAGTTTGACAAAATTTTCTGGATAATTATGTTTTTTCATTTAGAGGAACTCAATGCTGTTGAAGTTACGAGTTTCCAATCACTTAAGCTGTGTCACAGTGCGTGTTCTTAGCTGATACGTATACCTTGCAGTAATATTTTTTAATGGAGAATACAACTATTTTAGCTAGCCAGCAAAGTGTCAGACTGATGGTACTTCCTTGTAGCCACAACTGCAGAGAGCAGCAGCAGCAAACGCCATCTGCTGTATACTCATGCTATTAGCTTATATGGTACTATAAAAGATAAGAATGGGAACCCACTCTTTCTAGAGTGTCTTTAGAATGAAAATTTTGAAATACACTTAATAATTTTCTACTTGATAATACAGATCCCAGCTTTACAGAGGCTTAAAATTTACAATAAATAGTTTTATTATTAATAAAATAATTTTTAATAAAAATAAATTTACATTAAATAGTTGCTCTATTTATGTCAAAGAAATACTCATAAACTTAATTAAGAATGTGCACAACGAGGTAAAGACTTAAATGCTTGTCTTCAGAGATTAACAGTGATAGTACTTTGTGTTATCACTGATGAATTCCCTCTGAGCTATAGCATGTACATATAGAGCAAGACATAAAGCCCTGAAGTGGTTACAGTCTCAATAGGAAAGACAGACCCTAAAGAACTGGACATAACATGCAAGTAGAGTGAACTTCCAGTAAATTCCCAACATTATACAAGTGCCACAGTTGTTTGTAAAGCAAAAATGTAAAGAATAATCTCAGTCCTAAAGAATTTACTGTGTGAGCTGACATGGCAGATAGGGAAGGGTGAACTATCATGGAGGAGAGGTGAACTGTGTGCCCTGCCCGCACAAAGAAGTTATTGGTGACTATCAGTGTAAGAGGAAAACGCTACGACAAAGCAAAGTACATGCTGGAGGCAATGCCATTTATTTACAGAAAAGCTGTATGAAGTTGCTTTTTCAGTTGTGCTTCTGCTCACAGTCCTGAGCTTCTTTTGGCCCTCACTCAACACAGGAAATCTCCAAATCAAAGCTCCCACCCTCCTGGACTTTCAGCTGCTTCTCAATATCCATTTCAGTAGTGCTACTCGCTGTTTCTCATGCACATGCAGAGCTCCACCATCTGCTCCTTGTGGCCTGATATTTTACACACACTCCGCCCCAAAATTCAGAAAAATCCCCTGGGCCACATGATTCACTGTCTATTCAGACCTTGCCATGTGCCTGGTTTTTGTGTAGTACCCGCTACTGATGCAAATCCCTTGTTTCACGAGGGATCTCAATTGCCTTTTTCACTGAAGGCAGGGTGGCTCTGACACCTGCCAATTTCTGAGGGGTTTAGCCCAACCTAAAACAGTATTATATTCTTGTTTGGCTCAGTGGGAACTGTATATTTTTTTTTCCAGTAAAATCATATTAACTTTCTAGACTATTAAGTAATGTGGAAAAATCATATTTCAGTAAGAAAATTTCCTTTCTGCTTTTTCATGCCTAAGGACTAGAGTTCCTGTTTCACTTGGCTCAAGTAGCCCATGCAGTAAATCACTGCAAAAATCTTTCAATAAACCCCACGTAAAACTTGTCCAAATGCTACCAGAGAGTTCAGAGGGCTATGAAAGAAAACAGGACAACTGTCTGTAATGGGAGGTGTTGGCCAAGTTAAACACAACTCAGCAGAAGCAGGCAGAGAATATTCAGGTACTGTGATACAGTTTGGACCAATTTTTGTCCATAAACCACAGCTTGACTGCTACCTAGAGAGCAGCTATTTATAGGGAGTGCATACTGTTTCAAGGATTATTTTCTCTGGTATGCTTTAAATCAGGGATGCCAGCTATGCGGGCCAAATTTGGCTTACCTGATACATGTATGGCCAGTGTGCTGTATTTTGAATCTCACCTTTCATTAAAACTTGAGTTCCTGGCTTTGCAGCAGTGGAAAAATAATCTAAGAATTTGAAAAGTATATAAATCAACATAGCAGTGTCTCAGCCTGATACAGGAGGTGCTCAGGAGCAGGCTTAAGTCTTCTGGACTTCGCTGAAGCGTGAATTCTCAAGCCAAATTCAGTTGAAAACAAAAACAGGTAAAGCAAAGTTAAGATCATCCTATATGCTTCTGGAACATCAAGCATAATGACTAATTTCTGAAAAGCATGAAATGAGCAAGTATCTGCCAACACCATCCTACCTCTGGCCCTGCAGATCTGTGTCTCCCAGATGTGCTGCATGGCTTCACAGAGGAACAGTGAGGAATTTATCAACACTTACTGGCAGAGCTAGGTGGTGCTGGATTTTATCCTCTACCTCGGTGCTGGAAAGCAAATCTGGAAGGATCCAACACGCTTTGTCTGAGGCGAGGTCTGTGGTTGTGTGTGGTTGGTTTCACCATGGGAACCGTCAGAAGAAGCGGGTTCAGGAGTGATGCACAGGCTTGCTCATGGCCGAGTGAGTAATGAGGACTCTGCTACTGAGCTGCATGAAATTCATCCACTTCAGATGCTTTTCTGTGTCCAAATCTGCAGCAGAGAGTAGTCCATCAGGAGAGAAAGGGGCTGTAAATGGCTTTCCTTGGTGGGTTATACTTCCCAAAAGGCGGTTGGCAGATTCCATCAAACCTGAAATAGGTTCAATTGTTCTTTTGTGAGAGAATTTTGAAAACTACATGATTAGATGAAGCTGGGTATGGTTTGCTAAACATGCCTTCCACTGTGTGAGGTGGGATGCAACCTGAACAATGAAACCTGAAAAGCTTTTAGA